GTGTTGAAATCATCACGTCAGCCAGGAGCTGTCCCGAAGGAAACGCTCCCCTCTGCTCCTTGCTGTATGCTGATCATCGCCAGAGGTGCTTCACCCTCCGATTTGCGTTGGGTTTTTCCCCCGGCAATTTTTGTGTTTTATTTGGCAAGGCAAGGGGAAAAAGGAATCCTCCTCTAGAGTGATTTCATGGCCAGTGTTGTTGCTACGATGACATGTATTCGTTAGCTTTTGTTTAAACGTCAATGTGAACGTCCCCGTGGAATCGACAAACTGTGGCGCTTTATCATTCCCTCTCATCTCAGGTAGAAGGCTGACAGTTGTAGGGCTACGAAGATCTGTGTGAGAACTCAAAACCCCCGACTCACAGTTTGTGGCAGTCCGTTGTCATTTGTGCATAGCAGATGGTTTTCCACATTGAGATCCTGGTTTGATAACTTCCTGTACTTGAAATCTACAAAAGAAAATAAAGGAAGCAAGTTTCCTTGCAGTGACTTTAAATTGTGATAGAGTTTTAAATCCATATGGGGGAACATGTCCTAATTCTTCTGTCCTGAGAAGCATGTAATTTTAATATTATATCATGTGTGTGTGTATATATATATATATGCAGTATGTATATACATATATATTAATACAAGTATTTTTACTTAATCTATGAGATAGTAAAGAAGGTCATTTGTTTTTCTTTTTCTTGTTTTTTTTTCCCCTTTTTTTTTAAATAAACTATTGCTTGTTGCATTAGTTTGTCTTTAGTTGGTCTTTAATTCAAAAGGAATTCTTTTCCTTTGCTTTGTTTTTACTTACCTATGCCGCATGTGGTGGGACAGACGAATCTATAATCCAGAAAGTCATGAAACCTAAACTCCCAGGTCTGGAAAACAACCCAGCTTAATAATGACTACAATTAGGAATGGTGCGGGGAAGAACAAGAGCCCAGCTGATTTTCACATTTGTCCTCACGTTAAAGCAGTGGTTCTCACCCTTGGCTGCACATCAGAACCACCTGGGAATCTTTTTAAAATCCTGATTTCTGGGCCTCAGCCTCCGGAAATTCTGTTTCTTTGTTATGGGGTGGGGCCACAACATTAGTAACAAAGAAACAGAATTTCCGGAGGATGAGGCCCAGAAATCAGGATTTTAAAAAGATTCCCAGGTGATTCTGATGTGCAGCCAAGGTTGAGAACCACTGCTTTAAAGGAAAGAGACTCCTTCCATTTTCCCTTGGGTGAACCAAAAAAACAACACACACAAGTGGAATCATTTAGACTCAGCAATGGGGGGACAACGGAAGCTTTCCGTTTCTATACAAACGAGAGGGGACGGTGCCCTGCAGGAGCAAGAGGAAACCTGCTGGAAAAGATAACTTCCTGCCCTTCTTTAAATCTGGACCAACTAGAAACTCGGGTTCTGACCTGCATAGCAGCTGAGACACAGAAGCTCTACATGACCAAAGCCTGTATTTAGTAAAATCTCATGACTGCTTTAAAAAAAATGGGCAAAGAAAAAATATTGGAAGGAGGAAGATTAAACCGGTAACAATGGCCCTGGTTGGTTTGGTTCAGTGGATAGAGTGCCAGCCCTCAGATTAAAGGGTCCTGGGCTCAATTCCAGTCAAGGGCCCATACCTCAGTTGCAGGCTCGATCCCAATTCTGGGCCACTCGATGCGTGTCTCTCACATCAATGTTTCTCTCCATCTCTCCTGCTCTCTCTGTAAGTAAATAAATAATAAAAAGGTAACAGTGACTGCCCAAATTATTCACAATAAACATGATTTACTTTTTAAAAAAACATGATTTACTTTTATAATATAAAAAGAATTAATGAAATTAAAATAAAACCTACACATAGGCATGCTTAGGAAAGATAACACAAATCGAAACTGTGGTTGCCTTAGGAGACTGGGACCACTTTTCTTGTGTCGACTCCCTCCTAATGCCAACTCCATTCTTTTCTACTTCAAGAGCACTTTACACCCCAGGGATATAGTATCAGGCAGCCAGGACCCAGAGGCAAGAGGTTTGCCTCTGGCAGCATCAGTATGTAAAATCCAAGGAGCCCTGGCCAGTGTGGCTCAGTGGGTTGGAGCAGCAACCTGTACAGCTAAAATCCCAGAGGATTCTGACCGGTCCAGCGTGGTTCACTGGGCCATCCACCTGCAAAACATGGTGGTTGAATGAGATTGAGTTATAGGACTGGGCTGGCCCAGGGACCCTGGGTGAACAGGAGAAAGGGGCAGGGGGGAAATGCTGAGCAAATAATGGCAAAGTACTGTACTGTACCAGTCTTTTTTTAAAAAAATTTGAGAGGAAGGGAAAGAGTGAAACATTGGTTTGTTCCACTTATTTATGCATCATTGGTTGATTCTCCTATGTGCCCTGGCCAGGATCGAACTCACAACCTTGGGGTATTAGGATGATGTTCTAACCAACTGAGCAACCAGGCCAGGGGTGGCTCACATAAATTTTTATAAAAATTATCTACAGGTTTGGACATCTCCTATCTGCCCTGCATTTGTTATTTCTTCAGCCTTACAAATCCCCCAGTGGACTTTGCTCCCTGAGAGAACAACAGCATCCGCTCTGAGAACATCTAGAAGGTTTTCTCCATTCTGGTCAGAAACAGGACACCAGGGAGAGTCTCAAGAACAAGGACCCGTGGGCTATAAGAAAGGGCAGTGTTCGCCTCCTAACAGTCCTTTTCGACAAGCCTGGTCCTCCCTAAGGGGTTACCCTGACACAGAAGTTTTCGGGTTCAACCCAAGAAGGCCGCTTTGAACCAAGGGAGCCTAGAGAACGAAGAGCCTCCCCGTGAGACCCACGGCGTCTTGTGCTGGGTGCCGCTGGGGTGGCTCGTTTGCTCCAAAGAATCTTCTGTCACTGAGCCCCACGCCCCAGGTCTAAGCACCGGCTGAAGGGCGCGGTTACACCCGGGAGACTTACTGAGTTTAATTTTATCAAGAATCTACTTCCAGATTCTCCCAAGTTTGGAAAATTGGCCCCAAGGAAGATGAATGGAGCTGTTCCTTCTGAGAGCAAGGGTTGAGCCACAGATAAAATCACTTCGAGGGAACCCATAGGCCACTTGATGTGTGGCTGGTTCAGTTTAGCTCAAGGACTCGTGGGCATAATTTTCATACCCAATGAGATTTGTAAGAATTCCAGATCACAGATCCAAAGAGATCTCTTTGTGTTCTCTCTCCCTCTCTCATACACGCAAGCATGCATGCAGTATCCCCTCCCACCCCAGCAACAATGGTTCCCCGACCTTAACCACAGCAGGAGAGACCGGCCTCCCTATAAGAAGTGACATCATGAGCTGTCAGAGAAGCTGACCTTGAGCTAAAAACACTGGCCAGGCTCATACACGGGGGCTGAAACCTCATTAAATCTGGAAAACTAATGGCCTTAGACAAAGTATAGTGGGGCCTTGACTTACGAGTTTAATTCGTTCCGTGACAGAGCTCATAACACAAATTACTCGTATGTCAAATCAATTTTCACCATTATAATGACACATGATGCTGGGCTGATGTTCTGGCGTTCACTGTGACATTCGCTGCGCCAACTAGCGGTGGGGTATCTGAAGCTGGCTCTTAACCCGAATTTTAGCTCACAACTCAAAGCAAAAAATCGGCTGAGAGACGGCTCATATCTCAAAAAACTCGTTAGTCGGGACACTTGTAAATCAAGGCCCCACTGTACAACCCTTCTTATATATATCCTCAAATTGATCCAAAATGACAGTGGAAGATGGAAAACATTGTGCATGAAAATGTTCTTACTCCGACAGAGTTAAGTATCATTAAAAGATAAATACCATATTATCTCACTCTTATGTGGCATCCAATGGACAGATTAAACGGACACAAAACAGAACCGGAGGGAAGGGGTGGGAGTAGGGAACTGGCCAACGGACGCAGACAACAGAATGGTGAAGGCCAGGGGAGGCGGGGGCTGGGTGGTGGTGGGCAAAGAGGGGTAGGATGGGGGACATCTGCAATACTGCCAAAACAATAAATAAATAAGCACGATGCATGCCTCACAAGCCAGACAATTCATGAACTGCCAGCTGACAAGCACTCTTGGCAATCCACCAGGTCCGGTCCTCCTTTGCCTGCAAGTAGCCAGAGGGTCTTCACTAGCAGGTGGGGAAGATGCAGCAAAAACTGTGACATTCATCCTGTAACGCAGCTGGGTTATAATTATCTTGGGTCAAATAATCGTGATTTCTAAGGCCCCTTTTTAATCTAGCAATCCTACATGTGTGTGCTCAACTTCTCTAAAATGTGAATTTTTTCCTTATGAAAATAATTGCCCTTGCCCTGGCTGTTATGTCTAAGTGGTTAGAGCATCTCCCCGAGGACTGGAGGGTCATGGGTTCAATTCCCAGTCAGGTGCACATACTTGGGTTGCAGGTTGACCTTGGCCCCCAAAGGGCATGCACGGGAGGCAACCAATTCATTTCTCTCACACTGATGTTTTTCTCTCTCCTTCCCTCCCACCCCTCCTCTCTAAAAATCAAGCAGAAAAATATCCTCAGATGGATTAACAAAAAACACAAAATTGACCTTTGTCCTTACATATAGTTTGTCAAATTTTGCTCCATTCAAGGGTTGGGTCAGACACAGCCAAGAGACAACTGACATAAGATCTGCATATTTAGTATTTATAACTAGAGGACCCAGCAGGCCACCCAGCCATTGTCCTAATGGACCACAGGCACCTTCAGCTGTCTTTAGGGTCCAATTACATTTTTGTCTTTTGCAAGTAAATGTATTAAGAGCGAAAGGAACCCCACCTCTACATATAAAATAAAGTTTTAGCCCTGGCTGGGTGGCTCAACTGGTGGAGCATTGTCCCGTACACCAAAAGGTTTCAGGTTCAATCCCCAGTCGCAGCACGTACCAGAGGCAACTGATGCATGTTTCTCTCCCACACTGATGTTTCTTTCTCTCTCTACCCGTTCCTCTCTCTCTAAAATCAATAAACATATCCTTGGGTGAGAACTAAAAATAATAATAAAGTTTTATTTTGAAAGGTAAAAATTTATACATCCTTATAAAAGAAGTGCTAACATTTTAACAAATATAAAACACCACAGAATGCAAATCATTTTGGAGCTTCAAGATTCAAGTGTTGTATCCCAGTAAGTAAAATGTGCTCAGTTTTAAGATAAAAATTCCTCCTCTGGATCTCCTGTTCTCCATCAAGGCTTTCTTTATCACATCATCTCACACAGTAGGATAGCTGGCCGCGGTGGCGATTCCACAGTGGTTGTTCCGGTCCTTGGCCATCTTTATGTAGCCATTCTGGCCCCAACCTTCACCCCAGCTGTAAAAGAGAGGGTTTTCCATTTTATACAAATAATCAAACACATTTACTTTTATGAACAACTACACCTGCTACTGAAGCAGTGCACCAGAGAGGCCCAAACAGATTCAGGAAGAATCGGGAGAGGCGGTTCTAGTTCTTGGCTGAGCTCTAAGCCTGCACAGAACTTCTCTCCCCAAACCTTTCACAGAGCTGCAAAATTAGAGAAAAAAAGGAAACTGGTGGGGTCAGATGTGTTTCGAATTAAGAAAATTTTCAAATTTAGAAAAATTTAGAAAATTTTCAAATTTTGATAGTTTCAAAAACTATCAATTCTCCGAGCTGAGGGAGAATCTTCACGTTATAATCACATTCGTATGCTGTGTTCCGTAAGTGGGATAAAGACTTCTGGAACTTTGGTAGAGGTCTTCATCCCACGTAAGGGACACACAGGCATACGAACGTGTGATCATGTCATTAAGTTTCGGCCCTCATCGATTTTGCTCAGTGGTTAAGAGCATCACCCCAGGAGTTCCATCCTGGTCAAGGGCACGTACCTCGGTTGCAGGCAGGTGTGGGAGGCAACCAATCATTGTGTCTCTCACATATCAATATTTTGTTCTTTGTCTCTCCCCCTCCCGTACACTCTCTCTAAAAAAATCAATGCAGCCCTAGCCGGTTTGGCTCAGTGGATAGAGTGTCATCCTGCAGACTGAAGGGTTCCGGGTTCGATTCCAGTCAAGGGCACATGCCTGGGTTGCAGGCTCAATCCCAGTAGGGGGCATGCAGGAGGCAGCCGATCAACCATTCTCTTTCATCACTGAATGATTCCCTTTCATCTATCTCTCTCCGCCTCTCCCTTCCTCTCAGAAATCAATAAAAATATATTTTAAAAATAAATTTAAAAATCAATGCAAAAAAAAAAAATCCTGCAGTGAGGATTAACAAAAAAATAAAATAAACAGCACTATAGAAAAAAAAAAAAAAAGACTTCTGGAATTTCAGAAGTGTGCTCAAGAGTTTGAAGACCTGTATCCAAATACTGATTCCAAAAACGTCTCCCTTTTCAAATGTAAGTATTTTTAGCAGTTTATACCTGTTCTTGACAATCCAATATGTATTGTTACTTGATTCTTCTCCTTCAAAGCCATAGCCAACCACCAGAACGCCATGATCTAGATGCACGCTGCTGCAGCGCCGCTCATAATAAACGCCTGGGAAAGTGACACTCGATATTGGGATGGGGACCTCCAAGAGCAGGTGACAGTAACCCCGCAGATCAAAAACAGTAAGGAAGCATCTCAAAATCCAGCTAAGTGACAAAACCAAGTAAGATTTGAAAACAAGATTTTTTTTTAATTCTATGCTAGGGACTCAGGCCCTCATCTAATACTAGCAGGAATCTGAACTGGCATAATCTCTTTTGTAAACAATGGGTCAGTCAGGAGGCATAAAGACACTTCTGGAAGCCTTGTCATTCTACTTTTAGGATGTCAGTCTTGGGAAATAGCACAGAACACAAAATTACTTGAGTCAAAGGACCTCTATAGTTTTAATTACAACAGTAAAATTCTTTGGAAAATTTTAAAGGCCTAACAATTGCAAAAAGGTAAAGTATATTAAGCTATACCAGTGATGGCGAACCTATGACACGCATGTCAGAGGTGACACGTGAACTCATTTTTTTGGTTGATTTTTCTTTGCTAAATGGCATTTAAATATATAAAATAACTATCAAAAATATAAATCTTTGTTTTACTATGGTTGCAAATATCAAAAAATTTCTATATGTGAGACGGCACCAGAGTTAAGTTAGGGTTTTTCAAAATGCTGACACGCCGAGCTCAAAAGATTCGCCATCACTGAGCTATACCAATCAAATTATGTAGCCATTTAAATATATTTACAAAGTGCTTTGCCCGAACAGGTTTGGCTCAGTGGATAGAGCGTCAGCCTGTGGACTCAAGGGTCCCAGGTTCGATTCCGGTCAAGGGCATGTATCCTGGTTGCGGGCACATCCCCAGTGGGGAGTGTGCAGGAGGCAGCTGATTGATGTTTCTCTCTCATCGATGTTTCTAACTCTCTATCCCTCTCTCTTCCTCTCTGTAAAAAATCAATAAAATGTATTTTTAATAAACAAAGTGCTTAAAATCATGAGGATATAGCTCAAGTAATGTCAAATGGAAGCACCTGGGAAAGATATTGTGTGTGCACAATGAACAATGATAAATCCACACACCCAGAAAGTATGCAAACCAAAGAGTGAATCTTGCTTTAGGTCATGGTGGTTTTCCAGTTCTTCTGCCTAAATTTCTACACAGACAATGCTTACCATCTTCATAGAACTGGAAGCTAAGATGGCTTGCATCTATAGCCACCGAGATGGGCCCCACGGTTGCCACTGCCTTCATGAGGGCACTCTCCTGCCCAGGGACGTCCACGAAGCCGGTGTCATTGGCAACAGAGTCCTCGGGCCTGTATCTGCAGGGTCCAACCTTTAAAGGTCAAGGGGAAGAGATCTGGTTACTAATCCACCTCCCAGGAAGCATGAGTTTCAGGCAGGAGGTAGCTTCATGATTTCCAGGTTAAGTCTGTGAAATGCTACTGGCTGTTTTGAAAATGAAAAACTAGCTGGTGTCTATTCATTGAGACGCTTTCGGTCTATCTCTCCATAAGAAGTGTTTCACTATGAAGAAAAAGTGCTGTATTTAGAATGGTATGTATGTCTCCATGTAACACAGAAATAAGAACTGTGAACATCCCAAACAGAACTGTTCAAGGCTGATATATTTTGATGGAAGTTCTGATGGTTTACATATATATATACTCTATAATCTAAAATATGAATTCTAAAAATAATTTTTTAAATATGAATTCTAAATATGGCATCTGTTTTCTCTAAGGTGTTCAACTTTCTTTTTAATATATTTTTATTGATTAAGATATTACATATGTGTCCTTGTCCCCACGTTACCCTCTACGCCCCCCCCCCCCCCGCTCATGCCCTCACCCCCCCCACCCCCGCCCCCGTTGTCCGTGTCCATTGGTTAGGCCTATATGCCTGCATGTATGTCCTTTGGTTGATCTTTCCCCCTAACCCCACCCTCCCCTACCCTCCCTCCAAAGCCCGACAGTCCAATCAATGCCTCTCCGTCTCTGGATCAGTCCTTGGTAAGAACTTTGCTTACCTTTGCTTGATATGGATAGGACTCCTCTGAGTCCAGGCCGCCATTGGACTTCACATACTGGAAAGCATTATCCATGAGGCCACCATTGCAGCCCTTATTGCCTTGAGCCTGAGAGCAGTCCACAAGGTTCTGCTCACTCAGTGAGATAAGTCTGCCAGTTTTCCGGAACATCTGTCCCTCAAGGGCACCAGTTGCACTAAATGCCCAACAAGAACCACGGTGACCCTAAGCTCTCAGTCTACAGAATAGCAAGATTTTGACAACTTTGCCAACAATGTGTAAACTCTTAAAATTAGTGAAACACACATTGCCCCACAGTCTACCACAGCCACGACGCCAGCTCCTTTGTGGCTTTAACTCTTGGAGAGAGACCTGCTGAGTACTGTCATACCTGGTGCTTCACGGGAGTTCCACAGCCTTTTTTTTTTTTTTTAATTCTTTATTAGTTAAGGTATTACAAATGTGTCTTTATCCCCCCAAATAACCCCCAATCTCCCCCCCCCCCCCCGCCCACTCATGCTCTCATCCCCCTGTTATCCATGTCCACATAGCCTTCTTTTAATCAATCCACTCTTGGCGGGATTTCGGCAACGTAAGGTTTCCGGAACACTCTCCTTTTCTTGCACTTCTACTTTTTACCGCAGTTCATCCGTGTGAATTCTTCCTGGGTCTTCAAGGAAAAAGTAGAATGTTGTCAAGCATGGGATTATTTCGGCATAGTACCGAATGAGGAGAGGAAGCACAAGGTAAGCCTCCCAAGCCACACTCACCATGTCACTAAAAGCATTCATTCCCAAGGTGTAGCTCGTTCTCCCTAGCTTGTATTCCTCGTTGTGCAGGTCAACCATTTTCTTATTCTTCTCCCACACTGTTCTCCTCCATCCTTCTTCATTCTAGAGGCAAACATAGAACCAACCTATCCTTTTGATTCCTATTGAAAACCAAGTCACCTTCACCAAGAGGATTTGCAGAAGAGAAACCATGGCCAGGAAAGGTTTCTACTTGTTCTCCAGCACGCATACACCAGGGAGGTTTGCCCATATTGTGCTCAGTAACAGGTGTCATGCAGTCATTGCCTTGGGAAGAGCCAGCTTCAAGAGCAGTGGTTCTCAACCTTCTGGCCCTTTAAATACAGTTCCTCATGTTGTGACCCAAGCATAAAATTATTTCCATTGCTACTTCATAACTGTAATGTTGCTGTTATGAATCGTAATGTAAATATCTGATATGCAGGATGGTCTTGGGCGACCTCTGTGAAAGGGTCATTCGACTGCCAAAGGGTTCGCGACCCGCAGGTTGAGAACCGCTGCTCAAGAGGCTACTGTCTGCCCTAGCTGGTTTGGCTCAGTGGATAGAGCATAGACCTGGGGACTGAAGGGTCCCAGGTTCAATTCCAGTCAAGGGGTTCATATTCCCAGGTTGCGGGCTCCATCCCCCGTAGGGGGCATGCAGGAGGCAGCCAATCAACGGTTCTCTCTCATCATTGATATTTCTCTGTCTCACTTTCCTCTCTGAAATTAACAAAAAATATTTTTTCCTAAATATATTTTTATTGATGTTTTTACAGAGAGGAAGGGAGAGGGATAGAGTTAGGAAGATTAATGAGAGAAAATCGATCAGCTGCCTCCTGCACGCCCCCTACTGGGGATCGAGCCTGCAACCAAGGTGCATGCCCTCGACCAGAATAGAACCCAGGACGCTCTATCCACTGAGCCAAACCAGTCAGGGCAATAAAAATATTAAAAAAAAAAAAAAAAAGCTACTTTCTGCTATAAACTCCAAAAAGTCTGGACCATTCTCTGAGGGGTCCCTCTGGGTAATTTCAGATGTTACCAACCGGGCCATATACTTTTCCATGTGTTGCCTTCCACAGCTGCCATTCTGCATCTAAACTTGCATCATGTTTTGGAGCAGATGAAGCTCCTCCTGGATTCATGCTTCAAAACCTAGGGAGGGAAAGAAAGCAGTATCTGATTACACCAATCCCCCTAGAAAGCCATCCTACCTTCCTGAGAAGTTGCAGCACCGGGGGTAAAAAATGAATGTATCCTCCCAAGTATGTATCCCTCCCAAGGGCCGTGGAGGGAGGCTAAGCCTGTGGGTGGAGAAAAACAGCCCAGAGACCCCACTCCCGCACCGGCGCGGGGACAGACTCTCCCGACGCTCAGAGCACCGCTGGGGCCGGGCCTGGAGGCGGGGGGGACGGCCCGCTTCCCGCTCCACACAAGCCCACCCACCGCGGCCACGAGCGCAGGGAGCCCAGCAGCCGGAGGTCAGGCTGCCTTGCCCGCCATGCCAGGACCCGGGACGGTGCCTCCTGGAACTCCCGAACCCTCCACCGCAAGGCTGGTTCCCGGGGTGGCCCAGCCGCGTCGGCCCGGCCCGCGACGCTCACCTTCGGGGCGCAGCCGAGCAGGTGCAGTCAGCACGTAGAGACCCAAAAGCTCCCAGCGCTGTGACTCCGCGGCAGCGGATTTAAAGCCTGGGGATTGGACCCGAGCGGCCCGCCCCACATGGCCTCCGGCGCCTCGATTGGCTGATGGGGCCTGTGGGCGGGGCCTGCGAGCGTGGAATTCCCGGCACCTGATTAGGTTCGCACCGAATCGCCCCAGGCAGACCCGGGGGATTGAGGTGTGGAGCAGTGGTTCTCAACCTTGGCTGCACATCAGAATCACCTGGGAATCTCTTTAAAATCCTGATTTCTGGGCCTCATCCACCGGAAATTCTGTTTCTTTGTTATGGGGTGGGGCCACAACATTAGTAACAAAGAAACAGAATTTCCGGAGGATGAGGCCCAGAAATCAGGATTTTAAAAAGATTCCCAGGTGATTCTAATGTGCAGCCAAGGTTGAGAACCACTGGTGTGGAGGGAGGCGAGAGGGGGGCCCAGGGGCTGTGCTGGGGAGCTCAGCGCCTCCCTGGGAGCCGGGTCACCCATCACCCCGAATTCATGAGCTCAGCACGTTGTTCACGGAAGAAGCGTGTGGGGAGCTCCAGGTGCTTTTTTCAGCGTCCCTTGCCTGTCCTGACATCTCCCCGAGGGCTGAGGACCGGACGATCTGGCGAGTGATTCCCGCTGATCACACAGTGAAGGCCGGCAGGGTGCCAGAGTGCAGAGCCCACAGGCAGATGCGTTATCAGGGTGTCAGGAGGGTGCAGCTGGGCTGATGAACAGTCTGGAGTGGTAGGCAACACCCAAATCACTGGCCTCAAGGGCGGGCGCGGGCGGGTTCTCCTGTGAAGGCCTGGCTTCTTGTAAGGCTCCTTTCCTGCCTTCCCGTCAGGAGTCTTCTTCCCTCCCAAGCCTTTCTCAAATCCGACAGAAAGGAGTTATTGACCGAAGAGTTTCATTATCAGAAGGAAGAGGAAAGGCTGAAAGACGACGCTACTTTTACCTCCTCCTTCTGGGTTACGGACTGTCTTCCTCAACGTGCTCTTCCTGAGATTTCGTTTAAGAAATTTCCTTAAATGACATTTACTTCAGTGATTTTTACTTTAACCTGTAGTTAGTGTCAGGATTTAAATGAATCTGTGAAAACATGTTAAGTAAAGAAAGTATATTAAATAGTAATGTACATAATTAAGAAATACTGTACGCTTTCCTTTTTTATTACATAAACAAACTCATTGTTGAAAATATCTTTTTTTAAATATATTTCTTGCCGAAACCGGTTTGGCTCAGTGGATAGAGCCTCGGCCTGCGGACTGAAAGGTCCCCCGGTTCGATTCCGGTCAAGGGCATGTACCTGGGTTGCAGGCACATCCCCAGTAGGGGGTGTGCAGGAGGCAGCTGATCCATGTTTCTCTCTCATCGATGTTTCTAACTCTCTATCTCTCTCCCTTCCTCTCTGTAAAAAATCAATAAAATATATTTAAATATATATATATTTCTTTATTGATTTCAGAGAGGAAGGGAGAGGAAGAGAGAGATAGAAACATCAATGATGAGAGAGAATCATTGATCAGCTGCCTCCTGCACGCCCCCCACTGGGGATGGAGCCCACAACCTAGGCATGTGGCCTTGGCCAGAATAGAACCTGGGACCCTTCAGTCAGCAGGCTGATGCTCTATCCACTGAGTTAAACTGGCGAGGGCTGAAAATGCCTTTTTAAAAATATACATCTTTGCCCTTGCCGGTTTGCCCTCAGACTGAAGGGTCCCAGGTTGGATTCCAGTCAAGAGCATGTACCTCAGTTGCAGGCTTGATCCCCAGTCCTCACCCAGGGCACATATGGGGGGCACCCAATTGATGTGTCTCTCTCACATCAGTGTTTCTCTCTCTGTCTCTCCCCCTCCCTTCCACTCTCTAAAAATCAATGGAAAAATATCCCAGGAGAGGATTAACAACAACAAATATATATATATATATATATATATATATATATATATATATATATTCTCAAAAATATATCATTACCTCATGTTCCTTTCCACATCACCTTTTTCTATGCATGTTTTAAATTCGTTTGATAAAAATGGAGTCAAGTACCTTTTCCCGCCTTCACTGGGCCTGTAATGTCTTGCCCACCACAGTCCAGGCCCAGGGAAGCAGATTCTAGAAACATTCCTAAATCCCTTCACCTGTGCAGAACCCTCGGCGTGAGAAGAAGAGACCCTGAGATACGTGAGAGCCATCCTCAGAGGGGGGAGGGTGACTGTGTGGGTCGCAGAGTGGCTTGTGTTCTGTGGCCCGAGTTGGTTGTGAGCATCGCTTGGCAAACTACAGCCAGTGGGCCGGAGCCCGCTGCCTGTGTATGCATAGTCCTTGAGGAAAAACAATTTTTAAATGGCTGAAGAAAAAAATACGCCAAGGAGAATACGGAGCGGAGTCGAGTAGTTGCAACAGAGACAGTATGGCCCACACATCTTCTTGTAGAAAAGGCATTGCAGGGGCTTAAAAAGTGGGATCTGCTACTGCCTTACAGGGGCTAGTGAGCCTGCCTGTCCATCTGGTCCTCAGTGTTCTCCTCTGTACAATGGGTTAATGATAGTACCCATTTCAGAGAGGTTGCTGTGGGAATAAAGGGTGATGATGCAGGGAAAGCCCTCAGCCCAGTGCTTGGCACCTGCAGTAATATTATGAGTGTTAGTGAGGGGAAGAGGCAGAAGCTAAGGGGAGCTGAAGAGGTGGAGACAGCCTGCTACTCTTTCTAAAAGCTTGGGTGAGAAAGGAAGGGAGAGGGAAGGCATTAGGAGATGGAGACAGGGCACAGAGGAGAGGCAGGTGTTCCTGGGATGAGGGTGTGAGAAGAGACAGAAGGACCAGGAGAGAGGAAGAGGGGGAAAGAGAATCGAAGGGGGATGCACATGGGAGGACTGAGGACCTTCCTTAATCACCTGCTGAGTGTCACCGGCTCTAGAAGGAAGCTGAGCAAAGGAAGGGTCACATGAGGCCCATTCGTGTCCGGCTCCAATTCCCCTCTGAAGACTTCAGTGTCTGCAAAGAGGGGTGCTGAGGTCCGTGAAGGGTGGTTTGACTCTGCCCAGGGGCCTCGTGACACTGGCTTGCTTATTTCTGAAATGACATCATCTATTGATGACTCCTGCTTAGCCCAGTCAGAATGGCCTTTTCCAGTTAATGTTTTGATTTTTCGGTCTTACTAATGGACCGGCCAAGCTGCCAACATTTCTAAAGATGCCAGTTCACTTTTTTGCTTAAAGCCAGAACACCAAATAGATCAATTATTTGGCTGCTGGGAGACATTACCAGTTTAAAGCCACAGGCCTGTTTCTACGGCACAGCAGGAATCAGATAGCCTGATTCAGGGGCCATGTCCTCTCTTTGTTTTGTTTGTAAAATCCACCTTTGGTAAATCATGACAGGACCTGACTCTTTTTGCTCTTATTGATAATGAAAGAAAGAGCTATTGGAGTCAACCTTGGTCATGTCTGGGAGGTTTTCTTTGATGTTAGGAGGTGCTAGGTTCATGTCTGATCTAAAAAACTAAACAAACGCAAGCATTTCTTTTATTTCCTCTTTTCTTACATCCTCTTGATTTTTCCTCAGAGAAAAACAGATTTGTGAAAGGGCTGGGCATTACTGTGCATGAGGAGAAACGTGAGGGAGGGAGGGGAAGCAAGCCCGGTCCCTGTGTCCTGTCTCAGCTCTCCTTCTCAAGGTCCTTAGCCCGAGCCTCTTGTCACCCTGGAACTCCTAGGGTGGTGACCCCGGGCATTCCGGGGGGTGATTCTGGTGGATGATGAGCTGTGGCCACTGGGTGTTCACTCTCCATGCCTGTGGGACCGGGAAAGCAGAAATGCCTCTTGGCCTCACTCAGCCTCCTTCATGGACTCATCTCTCCTGCCCGTTCTTAAATGTTGGTGCCACTCTCAGCCCTATTCTCTTTTCACTCCAGACCCTCCTAGAATCCCATTCTCGCTATGGCTCCAAGCTCCCCTATAAACTAACAACTCCCAAGTTCATGTTTCCAGGCAGGACTGCTCTCCGGTGACTCCTGCCAGTTGGACAAAGCCAATAAAACATCCCAAGGGCACTTCACCACCAACAGGCCCAGGCTCGGGCTCATCATCACCCAGTCCTCCTCTGGTGTCCCTCCTCTTGGTCAGCAGTACGCCATTCACCCAGATGCCCAGCCAGAAACCACCTTTCCCTTTGCCACCCCATTCCTTTGGTCAAAATCCTGCCAATTCTACCTTCCTCAATATCCCTCCTATTCATTTCCATACCCCCATCACCACTCCAATCCATTACTTTGCCGTCTCTCTCCCGAATCATTGTCAGAGACTCTGTAAAGTTTTTCCACCTCAAGTCTTTTCTTCTATGCTGCTGTGAAAAGATCTTCGTGAAATGTAGCTATGACTGTGTTGTTCCCTTCCCTTTGGGGGCTCCCCATTTCCTACCAGGTCCCTTAGCATTGAACACCAGGATCATCTAAGACCTGGCCCCAAACCTCTTCTCCAAATTCACCTCTTGGCACTGCCATAAATTCTTTTCATGGTGCAAGCATACACCCCTTCATACCTCGCTGCCTTTGTCTCTGCTGCTCCTTCTACCTGGAAAGCTGGTCTCTCCCTTCTGAACATGGTGAACTTGTAATTACCCTTTAAAGCCAAGCTCCTATTGCCTCATCTGTGCTCCCACGGCCCCCTGAATGGACCTCAGAGAATCCGCATACTGAGCTCTAAGTGGAATCATCCACCTACATCCTTATCTTTGACTAGACCAGTGGTTCTCAACCTGTGGGTCGCGACCCCTTTGGGGGGTCGAACGACCCTTTCACAGGGGTTGCCTACGACCATCAGAAAACACATATATAATTATATATTGTTTTTGTGATTAATCACTGTGCTTTAATTATGTTCAATTTGTAACAATGAAAATACATCCTGAATATCAGATATTTACATTACGATTCATAACAGTAGCAAAATTACAATTATGAAGTAGCAAAAAAAATAATTCTATGGTTGGGGGTCACCACAACATGAGGAACTGTATTAAAGGGTCATGGCATTAGGAAGGTTGAGAACCACTGGACTAGACTAATAATTCCTTGAGGATAGAGTTTATGGCTCATTTATTTCTGTT